CATTAATTAGGTGTTTTAACTGTCTCAAAAAATGAATTGGTGTTGGTATGCAGAGGAAGCCAACCTGATTGCGATCCAATGACAATGAGGTTAATGTTTAACTGTGAAATGGATAGTTGTTATTTATTATATTATCAAAAAGCTTAAATTGGGTAAAATTGCTGAGTTATTGAGTGCTTGTTCTTCCAATATATATTTACTAGAAAATTGGAATTTGGTAATAAATGTATCCAAAAAGTCAAAAATTCGAAACTTGTTGGCTAAATCTAACTGTAAAATTATGAATGTTAAAATATTTGTAATTTGGCTCATAGGTCAGCCAGATCTTTAAAATAGGGTAAAGCATGCAAAGGATATCTGCCTTCGTGGAGGAGGACTTTTGAAGAAAAACTCATTTTTACGTGCATATTAACGCTTCCGCTGCTAGTCATGCGAGGTTATGTTGATAGGTAATGCTGTGTCATAGAAGTAAATTTAGCCCATATGCTGACTTTTTTATTATATGAAATATGATTAAAAAGAAGTAATAAAAGATTATTATGTCTACCACATTGATTACTAAGTATGGAATTTTATGACTACACGCCAGCACATGATTGGTATTAGGAATAAAATTATTTTTGCAGTGTTTTTTTTTTTTTTTTTTTTTTTTTTTTATGAAACTATATCACAAACAAATATATGTGGCAGGTGAGTTGAAGATGTTAATCCTAGGGTCAAATAACAAGTCCAACGTTTTCCACACCACAGACGACATTTAATGAAAAGAACAGAAAAGGTACAGATTGAATTAAATACAAGTGCTGTTGCGCATTCTTGCACTTGTTAGTTATAAACACTGTTCTTTATCACTTTTAGAAATTAAATAGCAGCTTAGCGCCTACTCACACTAGCTGTAGTATATGTAGTCAAGTTAAAACCTCCTCGTTGAAACATACACTTCATTATTCACCACCTTCACGTGTAGACCTACATTTTACCACCTTCTCATGGAGACATCTTACCACCTTCGCGTGGGATAGACGACTGTCTGTCTATATGTCATCCTCCTTTTTCGCCTGTTGCATAGGTGAGGCCCTCTGGTGGCTGTGTTGTACTTATGGATACCACATATATTACAAATGAATTTTGCAAACTGTATGTTTCAGATTCTATTCATGTATGATTTTTGCATGAAATGAAACTTTGTTTTCATTCTGAACCACATACGTTCACCATTAGTTTCTTACCTTTACTCCATGGCAATGCCCTAATGCATATTCAAAACATAATACTGATTTAACTTGAAAATAAACAATGAGATGGTGATTTTCCCACACCATATCATGCTTAGCTCTTCAGCAGTAACACCAGTGTCTGTTCTGCAGCAAATGTGTGTAATTCATGCAGTTTTCATCCAGTTTATGTTTATACATATTCCTTGCGTAAAACATTCTGATATATGCTAAATTACTGTAAATTGCTGTAGTTGTAAAGTACACTCTATGCATAAAAATTAAAAATATGCACATTCTGCAAATTTTAAATATTAAATTAATATGAGTATTTATGCATATTCATTGTAAATTCCTGTGAGTGTTATTTTGAAGAAATCTACTTATTAAATATATCTAAATTTATAATGATTACAAATATTATCTAAACATATAATCAGCTTAACATTTAATTCTTAACATACATTGAAAAATATAAAACTGTTTAAGCTAGAATTGTTCGCATGGGGAAACTATCTATTGAAAGGTGTAGTAAAGCAGTCTATGAAATGTTTACTTAAGGCAGTTTTAATGTCCCTCCTCCTTCCCAACATCAGTCTGTAGTGATAACTGCCATGAGACTTTTGGCAGTCGTATAAAATTTAGCCTTGGTTACAGTTGTCAGAATTGAAAGTCATAAAATCAAGTGCAGTGAAGGTTGTCAAATGAAGAAGGTCCATGGTTTCACCTGACAGACAGAAAAGGCAGACATCGCTAACCAATGCTGTGCAAGTGTTTATATACAGAGGCTGTTCACACATTTTTTAGACGATGTATATTGTATTCACAAAACTAAATTACATAAAACTCTTGTGTTTTAAATGTTCTATTTGACATCCCTCATTCTGAACTATCTTTCGACACCACAATTTCCAGGATAATATGCCTTTTGAAGTGGCAGAAGAGATAGTCTTATCCCATTCCTCCCGAACAACTTTTTCCAGAATCCTGTTAGGTTATGGACAACGTTTGGATAATGCAGTTTTTAAAAGTCGAAAGCACAAAATCCATAGGTGACACAACGGGAGATTTAGTAGGGATATCATGAAGGGGTATGGCCTTGATACCAGTTTTTGTTCCATTTCGTTAGGAAATTACAGTGGATTTTGATGTGTGACTGCTAGCTTTGTCCTGATGGAGTCTCACAGATTGATGGCACTGTGTTAAAAGCGATCGATAGTATTTCATTCAGAAAAATTGGCGATAAAATATGTCCTGATAGTATTTGGAGTTAATCTTGACATTTTTTTGCACTCTCTTTATTTTTAACTTGCCATTATAAGAAAAACCAGCACAATAATGAAATCTCTTAGAAAAACTTTTCTTTCGATTCTTGAACCATGTACTTAAATTCTTTTCTCCCCTTTTATGATAATAAATGGCTCTTCTTTTTTTTTTTTTTTTTTTTTGTTGTTTGTTACAGTTATTTAAATAGAACCCATGGTTCATCTATTGTGACAATTGTTTTCCATTTTTCTTTGGATTTCTCATGTAGAATTCTGCAGTGTGTCCTGCGTTGAGCGATATGCTTTTGAAGAAGACGATGCACATTGCGTTTTTTCGCTTTCTTAACCCTTTCGCGCCTAACGCGACACATACGTCCCAAGCAAAATTCAAAATACTCGTGGGATAGAAACGCTTCTCTGTCTGATGGGAGACTTTCCCACCAGTCCTGCCAACATTTTTGAAGGTATTTTCATTCACACAACATAGATGACACTACTGTACATAATGCAATTCCTGCGTTTTTGAACTGTTGTAACAGCTCATTCCATACTCTACGAACGTAAATAGTTTAGTTTTAGAAAATACCACCTATTTTCGATTAAATTTTGATTTTATCCATAATTTGTTCAGTCCGAGGTTCGAATCCTGCGAATGGGCTGGCTGCATGGGCGTTTTCGTGGTTTTCCCCATGTGTAACGTATATACGAGCCAGTTACCCGTAGAAAGTCCTCCACGAAGGCATCCCTCGCCTTAGGCAGATAGCCCGTGAGGCTTTGCCATAATCACACACCACACCATTTTTCATGTCTTGAAAGAGCAACTTAGTATATGTATTAGATTTATTTATAGATAATCTAATAATTTATATGTAGATAATCTAATATATTTATTTTGACACAAAAAATCAAACTTTTTCTGAAATAACATACCATTTTTTTTCCATATTTCGATTCTACGACTCGAATAATGCCAAAATATTAAATTTTGTAAAATTTGGTTTGAAATTTATAGAGGAATTTAAAAATTCATCTTGCCATATTTTTTTCTAGTTTGCACCAAGAATAATTCACTTGGCCAACTCCTTAATTTATAGCAACGTATTTTCCTTTCCTTTTTTTTTTTATTGTAAATGAGCAGGGAAAAAGTCACTGTTCATTGTTTCAAATAATTTTAACAAAGTGCGTAAGCTGCATTTGGTGTATTAGCGCTTATAACAAGTATGCCAAATTTCAAAATAAATTCACGTATATCCTAGGAAATTTTGAAAAAAAAAAATCTAATTTTTTGCAGGTATACTTAGAAATGCATCTACTTTAAGATGATGGTATAAATTTTATAGGTTATAGCGCAAAAATATTTTCAAAAAATTTATAAAATTTATTTAAAAATACACATTTAAAAAATAAATCATAAAAAGTGGGTGAATTTTATTTTTAATGAACGTAAGTTTTTAATTCTAGAAGAAGGAATGAAGTAAGTTTAATGAAAAATAGACATTAATAAATATATATCAAATTCAATTAACATTGCGGAGCTAAAATTTTGAGAGCTAATTTTTTAAAAACTTCCCATGCGATTTTTCCAAAATTTGCAGTCTAGCATAATTTGAATCGTAGAATCGAAATTTGGAAAAAAAATTGGCATTTCATTTCAGAAAAAGTCTGATTTTGTGTCAAAATACCTGTATTACAACATAGCTACATATAACTCTAATACATACCCTATGTCATGCTTTCGAGGCATGAAAAATAGAAGTTGAATTTCGGCAATTGGCCAAGTAAAATGAAAGATATAGAAAACTGGCCTCCAGTTTTTTGTGTGCAGTATACTCTCCATGTTTCCCATTCAAGACTTGAAAAGCATAAGTTAAATGTTTTCAATAGTGTGTAGTGGGAGATGTGGAACAGTCTGCTGCTTTTTTGTTTGTATTTTACTGTACATTAAAAAGTGTAATTTAAATATTTTACAAGGTATAACAATGAGTACTTCATTATTCTCATCAGTGTGTGAAAATACCTTTGAAGTGTACAAAAATGTGAAAAATGAGTTGAAGTTCATTTTTTATAATTTTCTCTTATTGGTTGTCTGTGATATGTTAATTTTTCTGTTGGAATGTAAACAAGATGTGTTTATAAAAGCAAGGAAAATATTTAATTGTTTATGATTACTGTGAATTGGTATATATTTGATATAAGTATTGTGTATAAGAAAAGTGGTGGAATATGAAGTTTAATCAACTCATTTGGTATATTTGGGGGGAAGCAGGTTGTGGAGAAATACTTTAATTTGGTAATTCTCTGAGTGCACGGCTTTTTCGGTCAGCTCATGAAGATCTGTTTTTAATTAGCTTCTGTTAACTAGATTTTTTTAAATTACTTATTTTACTCTGTTTTCATAAATTTCCACCGTTAAAATGGTATTTGCATTATATTGCATCTTTGCAGCATTTTAAATTTGTTTTGTGTTGTTTATTGCTTTTAAATTTTGAACATTGAAAAATTGAAAGTAATTATGTTATAGCAAAAACTGGAGGGTCTTCTGTCAATGTGTTGCCATTAACTGCTGGTACACCCTTGAATACTATAACAACGCCATCGGGTGTTAAAATGATTGTTGTATCATCTGCTGGCCTAACATCATCTGGTCAACAAGCAATTACTATCCTTACTACAGCTTCGAATTCTGGTAAGTTGAAGAAAATAGATAATATATATTTTTACATGATTTCTAATCTGTAGAGATCTGAATAAATTTTATTTTACCGATATAAAGCTTTAATAAGGCCTGTTTCCCTTTACGAAGTGAATGTTGGTTACTTAGGGAGAAAAACCTGATATCAACTTTCGAAAACGAGTCTTAAGAAAAATCTTTGGACCAGTACAACCAAATGGCATGTGGAGGATTCTCTGTAATCATCAACTACGTGGAAAATGTAGGAAGTAGGGTGAAACTGATATTGTTAGAATGGTAAAGGCATCATGTATCAGATGTCTAGGCCATGTTTTTAGATATGATGATGCATTTCCAACCAAAAAGGTAAACCTTTCAAGAATTGAGGGGGTAAGACGAAAAGGAAAACTACCCACTAGATGAGTAGATGATGTCAAGGAAGATTTAAGGTTAATTGGAGTTAACTGATGGAGAACTATTGTGCCAAATGGGGTCAGTTGGACGACACTTGGAGAGACAGTCTTGGCCTGTAACAGGCTGTAGAGCTTATGAAAAGGTACATCTTTAAAAAAATGTACAAATTCTGAACTTTTGAAAATTTTAGTCGTTCTTTGTGAAGCAATAGAAACAAAAAAAAATCTTTTGTAAATATTGTTGTGTAAATTAAAATACTCACTCTGTGGCAGTTTGTATGCAGATACTTGCTATTCGGCTGTTTGGTCAGATATGAGGGATAAACTGCAAAAAGCAGATTCAACTCCTCATACTGATAGAAATCATAAAGATGGGAGCATAGTTACAGTATCAAAACACAAATCAAATAATTTATATGTGTTAAAAGTATTTTTAATGTGAAACAAAGATTGCTTCATATAATGCCTAGCAAAAGGTGTAAAAGTCATTTAGATAGAAGAAATTTATTGTGAACAAGCATTATTTGGATTTAGAAAATTTTTTAAAAGTTAATTTTTTAACAGTTTTAAACCATTTTTGACAGTTTATGCCATTAATCATCATAAAATCATCATGTATGATGCTAATGCAGAAGTGCAGTTATTTCTTACTTTATTGTTCGTTATTCATTCTAATAGTTATTTTCCTAACATATGGTAATAGGGTCAGAGGCTGAAAAATATCCTAAGTAGATTTAATTCTATGTAGAAAAAATTTTAAATTGTTTTGTTTTAGAGTTTGAGAAGTCAGAACTGATTGTGTAGTACTTTTAGTTAATGTAGCATATTAAGTAGAATTATGATTTTATGAGTTGTTATAGAAACCATAATTTTGAGAAATCAGAAGTAATAATGCAGTGCATTTGATTAATGTAGCATATTAAATAGAACTATGATTTTAGTAATTGTAGAAAATGTAATTTTGAGAAATCAGACTAACTGTGTTGTACTTTTATTTAATGTAGCATATTAAATATAATTTTATACAGTTATGGATATATGGAGATTTTGCTGAAATTTTAGGGTAGTTTTGATTTTGTAAATTGAAAAAAATTCTGAGATATTCTTAAAGTCATTCATCTTTTTAGAATAAAATAATAATCTTCTGTAATTATATCTTGCTTTAAAAATGACATATGTTAATGAGATTTTTCTCGAACATTGTTTTTTCTAAGGTGTTGAAACATTTCCCGTGCTTTTATACAATCAGTATTATTCACAGTAAAAGGGAAAACTGAAGCAGAAACTACATATTAAAAAAACTGTTTCATATCTGAAATCTGTTTGTCTCAAAAGAAAATTTGTCCACTCAAGATATTGCAATTTTTTTAAATTTAGGTATGTCACTAATAAGCAAAATATAAACTTAAGTATAAAAGCTTAACATTTATTGCTTTTTCACCTAAGCTTAAAGTTGAATATAGAGCATGTTGTAGATATCTTAAATTAAATTTGTCTGATCTGAGACACATAGGATTGGGATATCTGGGAAGAAGTACGAGTTTATCTAAAAGTTTATAATATCAGTAATGTTGGAAATTGTAATAATAATAGAAGAGGTCAGTTTATCATCACAATAAAGGAAAAGGTCTTCAGATATGGTTAAAAAATGATGATGATATATTTTGCTATAAAAATCTAAAGGGAGAAATTTATTTTTTGCTTGCTATTATTACTAATGTAATATTTCAATGCCTCTATTTTGAAATACTATATGTGTTTATCTACAAAACCCTGAAATAGAACAGTTTCATTACTTACTGTACTAGTCGCACATCCAAATCTATTTTTGAAACTCTTTAAAAAAATAAAGAAATAAATAAAAAAATTGAAGATCTGTGCTTTTCCTCCTATATGTTTTTAATTTCTCTGATGTTTCACTAATGGTTCACTGTGTGCTTTTGGAGTTATGAAAGGAGTGTTTGCAGAAAACATGGTAGATGGATAGAACAGAATATCCTCACTGAGTGTTAGAAATACTATATTATGCTAATCAAAGTATTGATTAGTGGTCTAGAGGAAGGTATATCACATGGCATTTCTGAAGAAAGTGACAAACAAAAAAAAATTCTATTCGAAAGTTAGTCAGAATTCTTGACACAGCAATTACAGGACTTGAACAATGGAACTTTGTAGCTGAGCAAGAAATATCTCTGTCTGAAGAACTAAAAAGAAAGAAATTATTCAAAAAATCTTTCTGTTCTAGTTAACGATACTAATTCCAATCCATCTTTGCCTTCGGCCTTAAAAGAAATTATGTTTTAGTTCTGGTTTCACCAACAGGTGGCGCCAATTGCTTATTCTTGTCCATGTTTTCTTATCTCATCTAATCATTATTTCCTATCATGTACATTTGCGGTTTTGCAACTGAGGATGGTAGTTTGGCCAAAACCGTCGAAACTAGTCCTGTGAAAATTTTGAAAATATAATGCTGATTTTTGTTGTATGACTTCTGAATTAGTATTTATTCGGCGTGTTATTGTGTCTTAATTAAAAAGAAAGTATTAGTACAAAAAACGAAGCAATTTTACAGCTGAAAGAAATGTTTAATAAATTAAATAAGTCTTAAGCCAGTCCCCCTTTTTTAAAGTAAATTTTGATACCCTGTAGATCATAAATGCTAATTATTTCATAAATCATGGTTTCATATTTTTAATTTTATAATTTCTGCATGATGACATCTTACTAGATTTAAATTCATGATTTAATATCTGGAAAAATCCCAAATTCGGAATACCTGAAATTCCATCAATGTCGTATCTCAGACTTTGTACTATATATGTTTTTAAGAATTACATTTATTGCATTTAGATTGCTTACTTTGTTACTCAGTAACAGAGAGATTGAATTTTAAAGTTATATATCTTACACTTTACTGAATGGCAACATGCTGGTCTGTGGAAAATAAAAATATTTTTTTCCAGGCAGTAGCAGTACCTTCCTTTTAAATTTCTGATTAAAATTAGAAGATAAAATATCATATTTTGCTGAATAGCAATAATCTGGTATGCTGAAATAAAAATGTTTTATTTTGAATAGTGTTGCCACTGCTCACTTCTCATATCACTAACTTTATTAGTTAAAATTTCATTAAACTCATACAAAATATATAATAAATAAAAAATCCAAATTTGGGCTCCAAGGTGCACATTTTCAAATTGAGAGCTACATGGGTTCAAAATTTGGTGTCTCTGGGTGCTTTTTCCCACAGTTTGAGGAACATATGTACATACAGATTCTTCTTTTTTTAATAATAGAGTTTAAATTCTTGATAACTGAAGAATCATACAGTCAGTAGAAACATGCTGCTGACATGAGAGAGACATCAGATTTTTTAAATGAATCTTATCTTAATCCACGACTTATGGAATATTGAATTATACACATTTTTTTCCTATATGTCATTTAAACTTATTTCCTCGAATTTCATTAGAGACATATTTCTCATTCTTACTCAAAAATACATAATAAGCTCATAAAAATTGAAAGATATTAAAAAAATTAGTTAAAACAATTAAATTAATTTTTACAATTAAAATTACAGTTTCATGCAAAAACAAGCAACTCATCAAGAAGGCAGAATCTTCTTTGGTGCACAAAACTAAGAGTTTCATTTTGGTCACAGTCAGCAAAAAGACATTGAAGTTGCAGAAAGACTTAATTCACTATTCTGCTAAGTTTCAAAAGTAAACAAATATGTCTGCTATGGTAAGAAAAATTAGGTAAAAAATGCTAGGTACGTACGTATAGACACCACGAAAAAAAGTCTCTTCTGAATCTATTTTAAATCAGTTTTGTAATTTTGAGGAAAGAGAGACCTTTATCCTATCTTTACGTACTAATGTCATGAAAAACATCATGCAGTTGCATTCAATAGCGGTCAAAATGGATATTTTTGTTGAAATTTGGTACCATGATTACTGTACTTCCTTTACTTCGTACAAGGAAGTAAAAATTGCAGTTGATCCAAATATATAGCTGCAATCATTGCCATTTTTTATCATTTGAATCTTGAAATGTTTGATTAAAATGATGGGAATAAGAAGTGGTATAAATTTCAGCTGATTAGGCATAAAATGCAGGTTTAAAATTATGCTTCTTTGTGTTATTTTTATTATTCTATGAGTTATTTTGGTATAAGACGTTTTCTTGAATTCTAAAAATAATTTTTATATTAAATTTAGGGCATCAAGGTTTACACTCTACGGTGACATCTCCTATTACATTAACAATGCCAACTTCAGCTCTTGGCAGCAAAGTTAGCAGTATAACAATACCAGCAAAATCTTTAACAGCCCAAAATTCAAACCAGGTATTCTGTTTTTCCTTTATTGTAGAAGTGCATTTAAAAATCTTATTTTCATCTTATTATTTCTTAAGTAATTTTCTTTTTAAGATCAAATTTAACTTGTCAAGTATTTATTTTATAATGTAATGGTAAATTGTAGAAGGAATTGGATAAATCTCTTCATTGCCAGCTGTACTTTTGTTTTTAATGGATACTGCACATTTTTGAGTCAATTTTTTAGAATTTTTAATTAAGTTTAAAGTACTTTTTTAAAAGTTTTTTAAGGAAATAATTTTTAATTAAAGGTTAAAGAAGTAAAGGTCAGATATTCATAAACAATGATTACTGCTTATGTAGTTAAAGTTTGAAATCTTATGTACCTAAAATATGGTAAGCAAAGAGAAAGTTATGAATTAACATATTTTGTAAAAAATAAAAGGAGAACTTGTATTTTTTGTTTAAGTATTTCAAAAATTAAAACAAGTTGTTAGGCAGTCTGATTTATTACTTTAAGTGTAATTTTTGTAAATAAATTTTAATAGTTTAATAAATTCTGTGGATTTAAAGAATTTCAAAATCTAGATGTAAAATTAAAAACTTATCATATATCACATGTAAGTATTTAGTACTGATACATAATTGCCATGAGCTTTATTATCCAAAATTAACCATTGGATGTAAAATATTTTGACAGATTGCCAATGCTTTAAATAAAGACAACATAGTATTTCCAGGATAAATCTGTAATACATATGTATAAATAGGGCTTTATGAGCAAAATGATTATTTGAATTTATGTTTGATAGTTATGTACACTATTGGCCCTTTGGTATTAAATTTTTGCGACACGCATATTTAAAAAATATTTTAATCTTTAAAAAAAAATGCCTTAGAATAAGTCAGATGGACTTGCATAAGTACCTTTCAGGCTTGGAAAAAATTCTGCGCTTTTTTTTTTACAGGGAAAGGTGGGATACCATTTGTCCCACCATGCAACTAGCGCATGTCTTATAGCATATTAGTGTATAGCAGGGGAAAAAAATCATATGTGGAATGAAAAAATTGTAAACAGTCGCCTAGTCTACTTCTTGGAAAATAATAATATTATATCGCCTTATCAAAGCGGTTTTCAAAAGGGGAGAACAACCGTAGATAACATGCTCCTTTTAGAGACATCCATTCGAAAAGCTTTTGTAAGAAGAAATCACCTTGTCCCAATTTTCTTTGATATAGAGAAAGCTTATGATAAGGCATGGAGATATGGTATACTTCGTGATCTTCATGATAGTGGCTTGCGTGGCAACCTACCATTTTTCATTCAGAATTTTTTGGAAGCTAGAACTTTTGAAGTAAGAATTGGCTCTGTTTTGTCAGAAGTTTTCAGACAGGAAGAGGGTGTGCCTCAAGGCTGTGTGCTTAGTGTAACACTGTTCAGCCTAAAAATAAATTCTGTATTAAAACAACTTCCTCCCACCATTTCAGGATCTTTATATGTTGATGATCTACAAATTAGCTGTCGAGGTGCGGGTATGAGACATGTAGAGAGGCAGCTCCAGATCGCTTTGAACAGGATCCAGGAATGGGCAAAAAGACAAGGATTTACATTTTCGAAACAGAAGACTGTGTGCGTGCATTTTTGTAGAAAGCAAGGTCTCCATCTTGAGCCTGAATTATACCTCAATGGGTACGTGATTTCAGTTGCACCTGAAGTAAAATTTTTAGGGGTGATGTTCAACCGAAAATTGACTTTCCTTCTTCATGTCCTAAACTTGAGAAAAAAGTGTACAAAAAATATGAATATTTTAAAAGTCCTGGCGAACACTTCCTGGAGTGCAGAGCGTTGCTCCATGCTTCGCATTTACTGAGCTCTTGTTTGCTCTAGACCGGACTACGGCTCAGCTGTTTACGGATCCGCTCGGTCTTCAGTGTTGTTAAAACTAGATCCTGTTCATCATCAGGCTCTGCGGATTTGTTCTGGATCCTTCAGGATGTCTTCTGTCCAAAGTCTTTATGTTGACTGTTACGAACTATCACTCCATTTGAGGCATGAAGAGTTGTCTCTTTTTACAGTATTTTAATATAGTATCTAAACCTGACCATCCTTATAAACTGTGTTTACTTGATAATAGTGATGACCTTTTATTTGAGGCACGTCCATCCTGCGTGCCTTCTTTTCCTGTCAGAGTTCGTTCTCTCATTGAAGAATTCTCCCTGTCTGATATGTCCCCCCACAAGCAGTACAGCATTTTGAAATCGCATCTTGGGAAAATGCACAAGTCCAGTTTCTTGATATTTTCCACAGTTATGTCAAAACAACTACTAATGAGAGCATATACAGACAAATTTTTGTTGAGCACAGGCATAGTTACAGGAGTTATGTTTCCATATATACGGATGGATCTAAGTCAGCTTGCCATGTTGGGATGTCATTTATAATTCGTGGCCACATGGAAGGCAGATGTTTACACGACGCTTCCTCCTTCTTAACCTCTGAACTGACTGTCATATATTATGCACTTTTGTACATCTCTACATTGCACCATGGAAAATTCGTTACATATACAGACTCCTACAGTGCATTGAAAACTTTAGAATATTTTTCTAGCACCGAGAATCCTGTGATAGTGGATGTTCTCAAGTTGATTATTATATTAACAAGTTGTGGCAATGAAATTCTGTACTGCTGGGTTCCCAAACATACAGGAATAAAAGGCAGTGAACTGGCGGACATCACAGCGAAATCTGCTGTTGAAATGTCCGGCCGCCTCATCCTTTTTAGAGATATCTGTTGTGTAATCAAGGAGAAGATCAGAAAAAAAATGGCAGCAGCTTTGGGACATTCAACTTCATAACAAGTTGAGAAGGGTGAAGCCTAAAATAGAGCATTGGAATACTACTAGCAATCGCAAGGAGGAAGTTCTTTTGACTCGCCTTAGAATTGGTCACACTAGAGTGACACATAACTACCTTCTGAAAGCTGAGAATGAGCCTCTTTGTGCAAATTGTGATGTTTGTCTCTCAGTCCATCACATTTTAATTGAATGTCCATATTTTAAAAGTCTATGTGAGAAGTATTTTAATAGCTGCGACCTGCCTCTCGACCGTTTAATCGAAAGAGAGGTCAATACTAATATCTTTCACTACCTGAAAGAAACAGGTTTCTATTATTTAATTTGATTTTAGTCTTGAGATTTTATGTTAGAATTTTTATGAATCGGATGTTTTAGGATTTTATATCTCTACTGCGTATCTCATTATCTGAATCATAATCAGCATTTGCATCCCACCATTTAAATATCTTTTTACTTGCCTCGATTTTAAAAGTGTGCTGTTGTCTTTAGACTTTTTTTTATCTAAAATCTATACTTTAATGTAAATGAATGTTGAAAAACGAATCCAGTGTTTGGCGCATATGGCCTGTAGAGCTTTGCGCCATAAATCTACTACCACCACCACATCTTTTTGGTGTGTGATTTACATTTTTTAGTCTCTTTTCTGATTGTACGAACGGTTTTTTAGTTTTTATTTGAACTGGGGATTTAAGTTTTCTGCAAGTGCCATTAGACCTTCTATTACTGAGAGACAAAAATATTTCGTTGTTTTTACATCATGATCAGGTTCGTGAACAAACTTAAATAGAATATATGCGTGTACTATACTCGCATCTAAAAAGTAAAAAAAAAGATCCTGTGCCACCATTTCTTGCTTTTGCAATCTATTTCATATAGTCCCTTCAGTTGGTCAAATAAGTCAACATATCTGATATTCTTATTATATGAAATAATGCTGTTTGGGCACAGTACTTTTTTTGTTTTTCCATCTCGTTCTTTTCTATTAATTTTTTTCATTTCAGTTGCCTTTTCCAAGCAAGGCAACTGAAATGATAGAAACGGATCTTTTATCCTTCCATTTTATGCAATAAATTGAATCATCGCTAACTGAAAAGTATTATATCTCCTCTTGACATAAATTTGTCTTCTTTTAAATTTTTGGGAAGATACTTCCGATTCATATTTACAGTTACACATGCATAGATGTTCTGTGTTTTTAAAAAGCGAAACAAATTATAACTACTGAAGTAATTGTCCATGAAAACTCTATGGTTCTTACCATAAAGAAGCTGGCACAAAGTTTTCACTACTCTCTCTCGCCTAGATTTTTTTTCGACAGAGTCACCAAGTTTGCCAGTATAAATTTCAAATTGGCATGCAAATCCAGTGACATCACATCGCATCCATACTTTGTAACCGCATTTGATCGGTTTTTTAGGCATATAAAGGCTGCTTTAGGCTGCTTCTCCCTTAAGCGAGTCATTGATTCGTCAATTGCCCGAGTTTAATTGGGATTAAAAACTCCCATAAACCTTTTCCAGAGGTGATTTAAAAGTGGGCGTATTTTGTATAGCTTATGAAAATTACCTTCCCCTCTCTTAGCTTGTAAACAATTATTTAGATGAAAATTTCCCAATATCCAACTGAACATGTTGACAGGCTTTATGTTTGCTATATAATCACCATGTAATAGTGGAGTACTCCGATAACCTGGAAACGTTTTTTACGCCCATTAGCAAATTAACAGCGAGAAATCGCAAAAACTCATTACTATCAAGAGGGGAAAACACACTGTTTTTCTGTGTTGCATATAAGTTTGATTGAAAAACAATATGTTCTATGAATAAAGTGTGAATATACTTATAAATAAATTTACAGGTGTTGGATCACTCAAATCAAAAATCTCACCTGTCGGTCCCGAATCTTCTTTGAATTCTGGAAGTGAAATACAGTAAAATTCCAGAAATCCGCAAAGCTTGGAACCAGAGGTTGTGCAGATTTTATGATTTTGCAGATTTCAGGACAGAAAAGATAAAGCATAATATTCGGACTAAAAGTGCAAAATGAATAAGGTGTATTAGATACATTTAATTAAATTATTATATACATTATTGCAATAATTTATTATATGCATTAAATTATTATTACACATATAAATTGATTGTATTATTCAATGTATTATATGTACACAGCATTGAGGTTCGCCGATTGAATTGTGAACTTGAACAAAGCGTTGAGTGAATCGTCTACTTTTTTACCTCGATGCAGATTAGAGGTGGAAAAAAACTTATGTTATTTTTTTATGTCAATAATTTGATATTTCCGTTTTGACTCATTATTATTCGGTAATTATCACGTCATTATTCGGTAAGTATTTTTTTCTTCGATATTTCGTACTCAATGTTGCAGTTTCCGGAACCTATAAACTGAATGTTTATATTCTGAGAGGCAATGCGGATTTCAGGTCAGCGGATTTTCGGTATTTGACTGTCTCAACTTCTTGTTTATTCCTGCATGGAACAGAATACTCTGAGTGTTCTGCAAACTCAGCGTTGTTGTCACAGATATCCCCTTTCTTCTTCTAGCAATAACTTCAACATCAGTTATTCTTTCTTGGATTTCAATTTCATCTGAATCAGAGCTGACATCTGAAGCATTTGAGTCGCAATCGGATGGCAGTTCAGCAAAAAGATCCATAGCTTCCTAAGTTGTTAATTTTTTTTCTAGACATTTTAGCACATCAGAACATACAACTAATGTAAAAGCGCGCAATCACGAAAAAAGTAGATGCAAAAAAGAAACGAAAAATAATCGTGAGTGCTGCCATCTATTGAGCAGAAATTCAAGTGTGTGGGTGGGACAAATTTTAACCCACTTATTTCAACTGCAAAATTAATGTTCTAAAATATTCAATCCAATTAAGATTTTTGAATATTAAAAAGAATCATACATATCCTAAATTGTATACCAAAGTTTTTAAAATATTGAAAAATGTGAGATACCTGGATACCACTCTTGTGATCCTATTTTGATTATTTTTTTGCTTATAAACTTAAGCCCCTGGTATAGTGACATCTAATGAGAAAAATGTTAATTAAAATCGATTATTTTTAAAAGACTAGGAAATTGCTAACTGAGAAAATAAATATTATGCCGCAAAGGGTTAAACTCTGTGATGATAATAATTTTTGTAATTAAAGCTTTTTACAAGCAGCAGCCAAATTTATTTATTGTTCAGTGGAAACTATATTAATTTACTCTATTAATAGTTGGTGAATCCTTTTTGTTATCACTGCAGTAATTGTTCTTTGCATACTAGCGTTAAGCTTACGACGTTTTGGTGTAATTTCATATTGTTATATTTTGCTAGAACTTTGTCAGCCATACTGCAGATGTTTTGGTTTCAGATTTGGAGACAGTTTCATTAAGTCTCTAAGATGTCAGTGCTTTCGTCATAAATTTATTGATTATATTAGATTATATAAAACCCCTGGTTTTTGGCATGATGTGTTATTCTGTTGAAATCTCTCACAACAATCTGTGTTTATATTATCAGTTATATATCTGTATTTTGTAATATATCAATATATCTAATATCAATATGCAATGATATTAGTATAATTTTGAATATTTAAGAAACCTTAACAAGTTTATATTTTAGCCACCGTGCAGTTTGAAATGATTATAATCTTTTATCCCTATTTTATGATAATTGTATTCCTCTGTTGTTCTTGTCTTATATATCATGCACCTAAAACCAAAGACTTTAAGAGGTTTATTTGGGGGTGGTGAGAGAGAGAGTGTGTGTGTGAATAAATCAAGCTCCGTAGTTTTTTCCTAAGTTTTCAGGTTTTCTGCTGAAATTTGTATATCTTTGTAGCACAACATAGGTATTGGCATTTTCTGGCAGGTACATGCATAAAATGTGCTATACCTAATAAAATTATTACATAGGTATTTAATTTTCAAGTCCATCCAATCATTTTGTGATTTTATTGTATAAAATGTAAACAAATATTGCCCTAGATATGTCTAAAAGTTAAATTTATATCTTTTTAACATATTTAAAGCATTTTTTCAAGTGAACTAATGAAAGAACTCAATTTTTTCAAAATTGTTTTCCTTAAAATTTTAGGTAGGTGGTGGACAGACCACAGGAGCCCAAATTCTTACATTGCCAGCACAAGGTATATTCACTGCTGGAACATTGCAAGCTAAGCAAACATTAGTAGCTGGGCAGAAAGTTCTCACTCTTATTCCTCCATCTTCTAGCGTTCCATCAGTAACATCTGAGGTAAAATTAACTTATGGATGTTATATATATATATATAAACGGACAGAGCTTTCCGTTTCTATGACAATTCTATTTTCGGCATGTTAGCTCATGTTCGGCTCTCTATTTCTATCGCTTTAATGTATACATACTGACATAGCAAATTAACTAAAAGTTGATTCATGTTAATTTTAAGTGTGAAATGGTAGTGTACCCATTGCTACTGGTAAAGTTTTTTTACGCCACTGTATTATTTTATATGAATTTCAGCAAGGAAGAAATGCTACAGAAGCATGTAGAAATTTATTGAAAGTGTCTGGTTAAGGTACAGATTCTGATAGGACATGCAAAAGATGGTTTGACTATCTTTGTACATGATCTTTCTCAAGTGAACCTATAGGTTAGCAGAAATATTTGTTGTACGGTATTTGCCAGTGTGTGGAAGAAAATCACAATTGTAGCATATATCACATATTTGTACTGCATTTTGCTCATATTGCAAGAATTAGTATTCTTCCATGTTTCTGAATTTAATATTAAGTGCCTTATTTCGCCTAAATTGTGTAGTGCTGAAAAACATTTTGAATATTAATGTGATGCTATACAGAGCTCAGAATAGTCACACGGTAGTTCTAAAATTCTGTATGATATCTTTTTAGGACCCAAAATATTTTCAGGATGGCGAATTCTATTCTGAAAACACTTCAAATCTCTTAAAGGGAATTTGCAAAGTTACCCTTGAGCATAGCGACTGCAGATTTGAGGTTATGGAGTTTACATACTTAACACAACCTGCATGATGACTAATCATGCTTATTTCAGTAAACATTTTAATGCCAACATAATATGCTGTATGTTAGAAACGTTATAAACCATGTTTACTTGGCTGCAAGTCAGACTTTTTTTTATATATTTCAAAAAATTTTCCCCCTTAAGAATCAGCATCATTAATATGGTTAGTATGATTAATTTTTCATTTATTTAAATTTTGGATTTCATATAGTTAGCTTATAAGAAAATAAATGTATATATTGCATTAATGTAAATATACATAAATAAAAAATATATATGCATAACTTTTAGTGGAATGAAAATGTACACATATTTATATTCTGTAATTTTACTGGTAAGTAGTAATTTATATTTTTCATTATGCTATTATTTATTAGATTTTTAGTCTAAAGGGGCTTTGTTCCTGACGGACTATTTGTTTTCGTTTAGCGATTTTGCGTTGAATCACAATAAATGGGAAATCACTTTTCAAACTGTTGCCACCAAATATTAGAGTCCTGCATTATATTTACAGAAATTAAATAATGAAAAATCTGCATAAAGTGTGGTGGCCAAAATTGTGGACACTTGGAAATTTTGATGTTTTTGAACTTCGTATGCCTCTAGAAAACGTTACGTTTCACAAAATGCAAACTTGTATATATCATTTTAAAGAGAATTTGTTACTGAATTCAATACAAAACACAAAATTAAATTATTTACAATACAAAAAGAAAGTTAAACGATAATAGTTATGGATAAACATTAGATAGTGATGATTGCAGTGATCAGTACTTAGTAGGGTTCCCTTTATTTTTTATTACAGCTTCACATCGACGTTTCATTGAGCTAACAAGAGTTTTAAGCTCTTTTTTCATTATTACATGATGCCAGGAAACAATTATAGCCTCAATTAGTTCCCTTTTATTTGATGGGCGCCTCATTCAGACAAGAGTTTTCAAACGGTGCCACAAATTTTCGATAGGATTGAGGTCAGGACCGTTTCCTAGCCATGACAACACTTTAATGCTCTTTGTACGAAACCACTCTTTCGATATTTTGGCCGTGTGGCAAGGAGCAGAACCCTGCTGAAAAATAAACGAAGCACTGTTGGGAAAGAGATCTCTGATGGAAGGTAGAAGTTTTGTTCTAGAATAGTGTCAATGTATTTTCTGGCATTCAGTGTCCCATCGATGACATGAAGGCGACCAATACCATCTGCTGACATGCATGACCAAATCATAACACCAACTGTGTTCTTCACAGTTGCTTGAATGCAGTCAGGATGTAGCTCTTCTCCTATTCTACGTCTTACATATTTTCGCCCATCGCTACTGAATAACGATGACTCTGGGTTCAAAGGTCTTATCTCTCCTGGCGTGGAGCCAATAAGTAGAGAAGGGGGATTTTTCGCCGTATTAGCTATTTGTCATTGATCGCTTCTCAACTTTTTTTTCTCCACTGTGTAAAATTTTCGTTTCATTTATTGATGCACGTGTAAATTTTTCGTTTCGTTTATTGAAATATTTTTTATATTTCTGTACGCAAGAGAATTTCACTATGAAATTTCTCGATATAAATAGTGATATTATGCAATTAGAAGAAGGTGTCCGGAATGCATTTAGGTGAATTGGATTGAACGGAGAGATGGTAATGGGGATACCATCGGCACATGGTGCAAGAAAATAAATGTTGCTGGACAAGCATATTGTGTTTTTTGTAACTCACTGCTGAAGTATGGTGGGGAAGGATTCAAGGCTTTCACAAATCATTCTAAAACTGTGACGCACATAAAATATTCAAAGTGCATTAGACATTCAATGACTTTAAGTAATTATGCTAATTCAAAAAATACTGATGACTTACTGGAGACTGATGCTCAGCCATTGGATATAGTGACAAGAAAAGCACGCCAAGAGGTATTAATAACTTCGTTTATCGCAAGAATTCTCTTTCTTTCAATGTAGCTCCCAATTTAATTGAACTCTGCAAACAGTTGAGCCGCGATCAGACGGCACTAAACTCGTTGGAAAAATCCAGGACTACTGCATGTTATAAGATGAAATATGGGCTCGCAAAAACTATTAAGGAAAATATCATTAAAACTTTAAAGGAGACTCCATTTTCTCTAAATTTGGATGAAAGTACTAGCAATGCTCAAGAAAGTATACTGGCAATATTGGGGCAGTTTTATGACAACAATCAAAATGAAGTTGTAGTTCATCATTTTGCATCTCTAAAGATGGAATCTTGCAATTCAGAAGCTGTTTTTAAAGCATTTGTTAATACTATTGAAGATAATAATATTCCATGGGCAAAACTTAATTAGTGTATTAATGGACTCATGTAACACCATGCGTGGAAAAAAAAAGGGTGTTGAAAACCAGACTACGATCAAACAAAGCACCCCACTTATTAAATATTGATGAGACACACATGTCACACAGCTAATAACTGTGCAAAAAAAATTTGCTTCATGTTTTGATAGATACTTAGAAGATTTGTTTGATGACATCTATTTTAATATGAAAAGCTGCAGTAAAAGAGAAAAATTTTTCAAAATCTGTGAATCCCTTGCCATTAAAAAACTTAGCCCTTGAAGAGACCAGACCATAGGTGAGTGTACATTTTATGTGTTTTAGAAAGAATCAAAGATCTGTGGGATGCTCTTATTGCATTTTATTTTCACTACTTGGATAAAACTGATAAAGAGGATTATTTTTCTTATATTGAAACTATATACAATAAAAGAAATATTTCTGCAGCTCAGAAAAAAATTGTTGAAGGGGGATATTCTTGCTTGCTTTCCCAACAACTCACAAAGGATGCTTTAGCTCGGAAAAAAAGAATACTAAATGGGTTATTTGTTATGCAAAACAAAACTTTATTGCATATAGTATTATATTCAGCAGTATTACCAGAGTTCAACACATATATTAAATTATTTAAAAAAAAAAAAAAACCAATGCTTCATTTAATACATTCCAGTATTTATAAATTGATGGCAAAAATTTTCTCTTTTTTTTTATGAAGCCAGAAAATATAGAGTGCACATCTTATAATGATTTATTTAAGGTTGATGTCACAAATCCAGAATTCCATCTACCTAGCAAAGTAATATTTACTGGTGCAGAAGCTTCCACTCTGCTGAAGAAATTATCAAAAAATCATCGAATAGCAAATGAATTCCAAATTTCTCTGATGAAAGCTTATACTAATACAGCACAGCATATGAAACAGAAATTACCCCTTAAAAATTCATATCTAATTAGTTTTACAGCATTAGATCCAGAGCTAAGAGGTGAAACCAGTACAATATTAGCTTTGAAAATTATCATCTTTTATGTCCCATATTTTTAGTGATAATGAAAAGTCAAAAGTAGAAGCTGAAATAAGTTATACCAGAGTGATATTTATATCACCAAAGAAATGCTCTACACATCTGATGAAAGTGGAAATCAAGTCAAGTGTACAATTGATAAATATTGGTCTAAAGTTTTTAATTTAAAAGATGATTTCACAAATGATTATAAGTATCCTACATTGGCTAAATTGGTCAAAGCCTGCCTTAGCTGCTTCCAGGGCCCATTAGTGGAAAGTGCATTCAACTTAATGGATACACTTGTCACTGACTACAGAACCTCTCTTAATATTGATTCCCTAGATGCACAGACTATTAAATATGATTTAATGGCTTGTAAAGAAACCTCATGTGAAAAATATGGCTCAAAAATCCAATGACTGATCCAATTCACAAAGATCTCTTACTGAATATGAACAGAAGTTGGAAAGCATGTCAAGAGGACTTAAAAACATGTATTTCAGATGAGTCACCTATAAAAGTCTCTGAAAAACCTTCTACATTAGCAGAAAAGCAAACTGCTTTCTACCTCTGCAATGAGGAAAATTTCAACCTTCCTGCAATCATGAAAACAAAGAACAACCCCCACAAACATCAGAAAATTTAAAAAAAAAAAAAAAAAAGAAAAAAAGAAAAAGAAAAAAAGAAAGCATTCAAATTTAACAGAAAAGAAATTAGATAATTTTTTTAAAGAATTCATTAGGTAATTTAAATATTTACATAAAATGTAGTAGTTATATGTTTGAAAATTTATGGTTATTTTTGCAAAAAAGGTAATTCATTGAACTTTTATAATTAGGTCATTCAATACTTCATAATTGTAATTTTTCATTTCTCTCCCCCTCCCCTTCTCAAAACTCCAAAATGTCGGTAGTAAGTACGTGAAACTTTCAGGGGACTTTTTGGGGTCCCACAAGCACCCCTGGTTTAGTAAAGTGGCTATGCGCTACTAGATGATATAGCTTACAGCGCTGCCTGGTGATAAACTCGAAAATATTATGAGATAGGAAGAAAAAGTTAATTACAGAGTTGTAGAGCATCCTCGATTTACTATGACTAGACGCCTTGTGGATATGAATGCTAAAAACGCACATTTGTTTCTTCATGATTTCCGAAACTGTTACATCATGACATTTGGAACGAAAGGAGAAAAGATTATCTTTTGGGCAAAAAGTGGATTCATATTGCGACACAGTGCTATCACTTGTAATCAAATCAAGAGGACTGTGGTCCAAGTCCTGCAGGAAGCATCCTTGTACTGATTGTCTTTGCAAACAGAGTAGCCAATATTGTAATCTTGAGTAATCTGTTATACAGGGTGTATCAGTACAGCAGTGACAAACATTCAGAAGAGATAGAGTAGACATAGACAATGGGAAATCACAATGCAATATATGGTTGGAAACTCCTTCCTGGCACAGTAGTGACGACACAAAAACCAAGAAAGAAAGGGCACAAACGGCATGAAAAAATGTGTATTATTCGGAGTGCAGCTAAAACAAAGAAAAAACAACATACAGAGACAACGATGCCAACGATCGGACCATGATGAAAGGAAGGTGCGTTGGGACCATGATGAAGGAACCGTGCGTCATAACACCGCTCGGTTGGTTAATTTCAAACCATGATTTTTGTTTTTTTTTTTGTTTTTTCTGCTGAAATAAACATAATAAAACATCTTGTTTCACTGTTTGTGTCCTTCCCTTTTTTGCATTTTGCGTCATCACTACTTCGCCAGGAAAGCATTTCCAACCATGCATTGCTATGTGATTTCCCATCATCTAGGTGTACTCTATCTCTTCTGAAAGTTTTTCACCGCTGTACTGTTATATCCTGTATGTGCTTCTTGTTTATAATGTATGGGTGTGTTTTTGTTACTGGCCTGTACTTAATGTAAATTATGAGTCAGATTCTGTTACAGCCATGACACTGAAATTTTATAAATTTATTATAGCTTACATCATTTTAAATCCTGAAAATATGTTATGATAGAAAGTTTCAGTAATATGTTTGTAGCCAAGTAGCACATGATGGCAGAGTTGCCAACTCTCCCAATTTAGGCGGTAGACTCCCGATTTTCAACCGATCTCCTGCCAACCCGATTAACAATATATTTCTCCCGACTTTTTCTTATTCTTAAAATTTCTCACGATTTTTATGGAACTTGGCTTAATACTATGTTATATGAACAATGGTGATTGTGGACGTCTGAAAGCAATTGAATTTTCTCTAGATTATATCTGAAACAAAACCTTACGAATCAGATAACTTCTGCTTTGTGAGTGAGAGCATTATACGTATCCTAGAAACGTCGTTCTCCAGTTGTCCAATGGGCATCGAACTCCACTGCATGTCAGCTGGCATATATTAGCCAATGAGGACAAGGCAAGCTGTTATTTGGATGTTCTTTAGTTATTTCGTTCAATTTGTGATGAGTTGTGTGAGTGCACGTGCCTTCGGGAAATAGTTTTAGAAATTATCATCTTTTGTTATGTCTGCGAGAATGAAATACTCATGTACGTTTCAAAAATCGTACACAGTTGACTTTCCTTCCATTATTTCCTCAAGGAAATGTAATAAATTTGCGATGTGCACCGCTGTCGTTGCGATTTTTTTTATTTCGCAATGGTGGAAGGGCCGATGTTCTCAAACATGTGCGTACACAAAAAACACAAGGACAACATGAGTTGTTTTGAAAAAAAAAACGAAAAATTAAATTTTTCTTCGGAAACAAAGGACCAAAAAGTTATTAATGCAGAATGTCTGTTCTCTCTTGCCTTTTTACTGGAGCATAACATTTCCACTGATTGCATCAGATCATGCTGCAGTTTTATTCAGAAAAATGTTTCCTGATAGCAATATCTCTAAGAAATACTCAAATGCAAGGACTAAAATGACTGCAATTGTTAAAGAAGTGGGTATGAAAAATATTCTATTATTGATTGTATTAAAACAGCTCCATTCTGCCTCTGTATGGATGAAAGCAATAATATGATTCAAAACTGTATCCAATTGTTGTGTCTTTTTTAATCCAGTATCTTCAGAAATTGAGCGTTATTTACTTTCTGTTTCTACTTTAGAAGGACATTTGATAGGCTTTAATACAGCAGAGCTAATTATTAAAACTTTAAAAGAAAATGCAATTCCTCTGGATAATTGCTTAGCACTTGGTGCCGATAATGCACCAGTATTGGTAGGCTTGAAGACTGGTGTTGCAGGCATCTTAAGAAAGGAAAATTCAGATTTGCAGATTATGAGGTCCACCTGTCACCTCTTAAATTTAGCATCTGAAAAAGGGGCAGCTTCTTTACTAATAAATGTGGATGAACACATTGTTGATATTTATTATTATCTTGAAAGGAGTTCTAAAAGGAAGGGAAAATTGAAACAGTTCCAACAGCTGCATAACAGCAGTTTACAATTAGAAAACTTGAATGAAGTTATAAAATCAGCTAGGATTGACGCCCAGTGGAGTTTAATTGGAAAACTGAAAGGTGCTGATGGAATTTTAAAATATAGTCAACTGTCTGGAATTGTGTTGGCCATCTTGACAGTTCCCCATAGTAGTGCAGAGTGTGAGAGGATTTTCAGTGTTGTTGCGTAAACGAGGACTAAGTTTAGATCTAATATTAGTGATGACACATTAGAAAAACTTTTATTAGCAAAAACAGGCCTACGTGGCAATTGCAGTGAACAAGTTTGTTTCGAAAGAAACTTCCTAATTTTCTAAACTAAAATTCCCCCCCCCTTTTTTTCCCTTAAACGATGCAAGTAATAAAAATGTTTTTTTATGTGTAAGGTATTTTTGTGTTGCTTGCATTTAAGAATTAGTTACTGTTTAAAGTTAATTCATTATTAAAAACCATATTTTTATCATTTAAAAAGTCTTTTTAACATTGTGAGAAATCTCCTGATTTCTTAAAAAAATCTCCTGATTTTTGAGTGTCATGGTTGGCAAGTATGTGATGGTAATTAACTCATGAATATCAACTGTGTGTATTTGTGTGTATCTATGAGAAATTAAAAGTATAAAAAATTCATAATTATATTAAAAGATGATTGAAAATTTTTATCTATTCATGTATATACTTAAAAATTCATGTCTTTTTCTGCTACATTCTCATGTAGCTTTAAAAGTGCATTAATTTCCATAAAACGATGTGTTGAGCTAAATATCAGTTGTGTAACATGCAGACAGAGGATAAGTCACAAGCAGTGGAAGGTAAGAATCATTAGTGTAAAAAAGTTTTTAAAAAAAACAGGCAGAATTGTTAAAACTTACTTTAAGAAAAATAAAACTTTTAGATTACTCTGTGTTTTCATTTTCGTGCAAAATGTCATAACCATATGTATACTTAAAAAAATAATTTGGCGTTATTCTTTTTCTTTTCTTTTTATTATTATTATGATTATTCTAAATATTGTCATTTTTTCAGGGAAATGCAGAAAATTGTGAAGCATCAAATGCTGTTACAGGTTTGCAGTCTGAAAAAATGGATGTTGACATTCAGTCCTCATCTGTAATCTCTGAAAATGACTCTAATCTAAGTGAAATAAAATCTGGAGAACAGGGTAATGAAAATAAAAGGACATCTGAATTTGCAACAGGCAGTGACAATTTAAAATCAGTATGTGCAGATGGTGTGCATTGTGGTGAAGAGGACAATGTTGCTGATGCAGTATCTAGTGCTACATCATCTAAAAATGGTAATGGTGTTCATGGACAAGATAGCAAAATGGTCATTGATCATAGGACTAAAGTTCTCAGTGTATGCAGTGATGGTATTCATTGTGGTGAAAATGATACACCAATAAAAAAAGAGAAGAAAGTGTGTGATGATGGAGTTCATTGTGGGACTGATGATGAAGATGATAACAAAGATGGTGAAAAAATGGATATCAGTACATCAGAGCAAACTTGTTTGGATGGAGTGCATTGTGGTGAAAATGAAGAACAAAAACAGACATGTACTGATGGAAAACATTGTGGGGAGAATGGTGAAAAAAGTGTGCCTGAAAAGTGTCAAGATTCTACTGAACGTTCAAAAGGTAATTGTGTAGAATTTTTTCTCATGAAGAAAGGTAAATTGATGAAATCGTGTGTCAGATGAGGGCAAAGTGCATTTCTGGCATTGTAAAGTTCTGTATTCCATTAACTAGCTCTTTTGTTGTCTTTTATGAATTGTTTGTCTTGCAGTTTTAAAGCTTAATATCATTAAGTAATTATACAAAAGAACTTATTTTTTATGTCAAGTTGGGGAATATATCTTGTACAGAATAATTAAATTAGAATTGTTTCGGGTACATTTGATATATTCTGATTAATTAGATTTTTCTAATAAATCCAAATTTTTGCAAATGTGAAAAAGGACAGTACTTTGTATCCTGGTAAAGTATGAAAGTAATGCAGCCTTTATGAGAGTTGCCGGAGACTCTCGATTTACGACATTGCTGTGTGATTTCGCCATCATCTAGGTGTACTCTATCTCTCCTGAAAGTTTGTCACCGCTGTACTGTTATATCCTGTATGTGCTTCTTGTTTATAATGTATGGGTGTCTTTTTGTTACTGGCCTGTACTTAATGTAAATTATGAGTCAGATTCTGTTACAATTTGACACTGAACGCTCCCAACTTCCTCTTATTTTTAAATTTTCTCACAATATTTATCTAGCTTGTCTTAACATTTCATTATTTGCACCAAAAAAAAAAAAGTCATTTTGGGCATCTGAAAGCACTTTGTTTTCTACATCTAAAAGAAAACCAAAAAGTCGTTTCATCAGTGAGAAATTATGGCATGCTTCTGCTTTGTGAGTGAGAATGCATGTCCGAAAACATAGTGTTCCAACTCTCCAAAAAGCATCGAGTGCCACTGCGCATTATCTGGCATATGTTAGCCAATGAGCACAAAGCAAGATCGAGGTTCGTATCTGATTCATCTTCTCGCTGAGCGGTGTGAGTGATTGTGCTTTCGATAAACAGTTTAAGAAACTACGATCTTTTGTTTTAGTAATGTCTGCAAAAAGGTGAAATATGCATGTTGTTTTCAAAAATCAAACACAGATTATTTTCCTCCTATTATTTCCTCAGGAACTGTAATGCATTTGCAATGTATGTTGTTTGTCATTGTTATGTTTCAATTTCGCTCAGGGGGGAGGGCTGATGTTCTCGAACATGTGCGTACATAAAAGCCCAAGGACAACATGAGTTATATTGAGGGGGGAAATTTAATTTTTCTGTGGAAACAAAAGATCAAAAGTTATTAATGCAGAATGCATTGAATCAAGCTGCAGCTTTATTTAGAAAAATTGGGTACTTTTCTCTTATGGGGACTGGATTCAGAAGTTGTATGTATATATATGGATATATGTGTTTGTTTATGTGTATATATATATGTGTGTGTGTATGCACACACACATATACATGTGCATACATACATTTCTGAATCCTATCATGATAACAGAAAAGTACCAAAAATTTTTTCCTGCTAATGGAATTGTTAAGAAAAACTCAAATGCAAGGAGCAGAATAGCTGCAATTGTTAAAAAATTGGCATGAAAAATAAATCTTCTGTTATTAATTGTATTAAAACATTCCACTTTTCCTCTTTACAGTAGGAACGATTCACAACTGTGTCCAGTTGTTTCTTTTTTCAATCCAGGGTTTTCAGAAATAATTGGGATAATTGCTAAGAAATACTCAAGTGCTAGAACAGAAATGGCCCCAGTTATTAAAGAAATGGTATGAAAAATAAATCTTCATTTATTGATTGCATTAAAACAATTCCATTCTGCCTCTACGGATAGAAGCAATAATACCGATGCAAAACTGTATTCAATTGTTTTTTTCCTCCCAGTAATCGCGAGTCTTCAGAAATTGTTTACTTTCTGTCCCTCTGTAGAAGGATATTTGACAGGCTTTAATACAGCACAGCTAATTATTAAAACTTTGAAGAAAATACAATTCATCTAGATAATTTCATAGCATTTGATGCTGATAAATGCACCAATAATGATAGACTCAAAAACTGGTGTTGTTGCAGGTATCTTAAAAATGGAAAATTCAGATTTGGAAACTATAATGTACACCTGTCACTTCTTAAGTTTAGCAGCTAAAAAAGTTGCAGCCTTTTTGCCAGTATATACATGGATGAACACACTGTTGATTTTTATTATCTTGAAAGGAGTTCTAAAAGAAAGCAAAAATTGAAAAAATTCCCAACAGCTGCATAATACTGAAATAAGAAAATTTTGTAAAACTATATGTACACGCTGGCTATCTTTAAAAAATATTTATCCAGAATCCTTGACCAATGGAACCTAAGTTTTGCATTTTTACTTCCTTGTACGAAGTAAAAAGGAAGTATTGTAATCTCTAAAAGCTTCAGGCAGCATATTTCAACGAAAATATCCACTTTGACTGCTTTCAAAAGCAATTTAACGATGTTTTTGCATGATATCTGTAGGTAAGGACAGAATAAAAGACTCATTTACTCCAAAAAACTAAAAAACTGCTTTAAAATGAATTCTGAAGAGAATTTTTCGTGGCGTCTGTACGAACGTACGTATCTCGCATAACTCAAAAATGAGTAGCCTCAGATCATTGAAATTTTGTATATAGGACTACTATAACATGTAGATGTGCACCTCGTATTTTGGTTTCAATCGGCCGCGCCAAACGTATATAAATATATTTATAAATATATCCACTCTGTTACCCGGCTCAGTGATCTCAGTTTCTTTACTCTTACATGTTTGTAAATTGTACATTTTTTTCTTTAAAAATTATTGACTTATGTTGTTTTTATCTTCCAGTTAAGGGTTTAAGTGCCACTAAGCCTATTTTGATGGTGGGCATTGCTTGTTTACATTTGAAACAGCTGAGTAGTGAATTTGTTGCCAAAGTGCCGCTAAGCCTATTTTGATGGCGGGCATTGCTTGTTTACATTTGAAACAGCTGAGTAGTGAATTTGTTGCCAATCTAGAGAAACGTAACTTCGCAACAACAAAGATAAACGAATTCATTTATTATTGCGATTTAAATCTTGCTTAATCCTTTCTGGAATTTTTTCGAGGAAATAAGTGTTTAAGATTTACTTAATTTTTAATAATTAGTAATTTTTAATAGAGATATTTTGAGTTTTTATGTATTTTTGCCTTGTCGCGAAGTGAGAACTGAATTAATTGAATGAGAAATACTCAATTGTCTATGAAAAACTGTTTCTTTTTTGTTTTGTTTGCTTAATTTTTTTTTTACACATCGTTCTAGCTATATTATAGTACTTGAATAGAACATGTGGCAACGATTAGATAATTCTTTAAATGATACAAATTTTTTGCATTCTGAGTTATAATATGAACGAAATATAATACTGTTAAGTGAACCTAGCGCCAGAGTGTCGCTATGGTAAAGAAATAGAGTGAATTTTAAAGAATGCATTTATTCTCTTGTGTTTTATGCGCTGTCGGCGAAGTAGATATAATTAAATCCAATAAGTTTAAACAAAATGCAAGAAAAAATGTGTGTAATTTAATATTCCATACAAGGAAGTCGTGGTGTACACGTGAGATTTTTTAAAGAAGTAAATTCTTCTAGAGATAAGATAAAAGGCTGTGTTGAAAGTTATAAAATACTTAACATAAATGGAAATGTAGTTACTACTTCCACTGTTAAAAATAGGTTTGAGAAAAATAAAGAAATTTCTACACCTGTAAGCAATTTAATTGGTAGTTCTCATAATAATACTAGAAAGAATAAAGCCGATACGAATTTCTGTAAAGAAAAATTATTGAACTAGGGAAAACTTTTTCCAATTGCTGTAAGTTTATCTTGTGAAGAATGAATATCTGTTTTTGTCTTCGGACCTTAATAAATGTTTTTACTTTTTTGTATAATTTGTTTTGCCATCATTCGATGTTCTTAACACAGTTCTACAAAGCAGAATTCCATTAATTCATGTTTTTCGATCAATGATTTATGATCTGTTGAAAGACATTTGATCAGAGTCCAGACGATTAAGTGGTTAGGAGAGCCGACTGCAATACCAAAAAGCCCAGATTCAAATCCTGGAGAAGGAATGGTTGTAAGTGTCTGTCCCTTCATAGGAGGCAAAAGTGGCCCACTTATTATGTGCGTCCGGAAATAAAAGTGACTTGCTTCTGGCCTTAGTAGTGGTCAATGTCTTTGATGACTTATGCTCACCATTGCAGAAAAAAATACTAGCAAAGTAGGGGAAGACAAAAATAGGTTTTATTTACACGAGAAGAAGCAGCATCATAGCTTCAGCTGATGAAACAACTCATGTAGATAAAGTGTAAGTTTTATTTGCGTAAGCTACTTTATTTGCGTAAGCTACTTACTTAGAAGCTACTTCTGCCAAGTATGTGATTATATACTACATACATTTCCTTCAAATACATCTTGTTCTGAAATAAGATATTTTTTGAATAGATTTCCAGTTTCACTTCATTCAGTCAGGATATGATACTCATGATGGAACAGATAAATTGCAGTTGCCATTTTGTAGTTTCCAATTAGAAAACTTGAATAAAATTATAAAACCAGCTAGGATTGACACCTAGTGGAGATTCACCGGAAAACTGGAAGTATAGTAAACTGTCTAGAATAATGTCCATTATGACAATTCCCCATAGTAATGTAAAGTGCACGAGGATTTTCAGTGTTGTTGTGAAAACAGGGATTAAATTTAGATCTAATATTTAAAAAAACTTTTATTGGCAAAAGCAGGCCTACAGGACAATTACTATAAAACAAATTATGAAATTTTTTTCATAATGAAAGCAAAATCTGCCACTATTCATACCATTTGTGCAAAAACTTATTGATGTAAAGATGCAAATAATAAGAAAAAAAATTTACGTGCAAGTATTTTTATACTGTTTGCATTTTGAACTTTGGGATATTAATTAAAGCTGTTTAAAGTTAATTCGTTATTAAAAAAAATCTTGTTGAGAAAATCTGATTTTTGATTGTTTTAGTTTGGCGAGTATGCTTTACATGAAGTTTTATGTATTTTAGATAAAAACAAATT